GGTAGTCCTGCGGGGGTAGGGGAGGGGTTAGGGTGGGTGTAGCGACCGGGTCAGCCCGCAGCGGGGTGCCGGGAGGGCGACTCTAAGGGACTCCTCCGTTCTCTCTAAGCCTTCCCTGCCCGCCACTTTGTCGTCTAGTGCCTCCATGGTGCCGCACCAGTTCCTCTCCGCCACCCTCTTCCTGCAGGGCTTGGGGCAGATCCGAGGGGCTGGTCAAAGAGTGTCCCAGGAGTTGGGGCTCCCGCCGGCTGAGTCACCCCACTCCACCCCCACGCAAGCCCACAAGGAGCCGGAATGGAGGGGAGCAGCGCCCCCTGGCGGGGCCGGAGAGCGCAGGAGAGCGGCGGCAGTGGCGGTGCTCGCCCGGACGTCCCCACGGACGGCGGCGAAGACGCTTTCTTACCCGGCCTCCCGCCTTCGCCTTTCTCGCCCGGAGCTCCGCGTAATAACTTCGTATAGCATACATTATACGAAGTTATACGAGGGTTTTCTGTAGAGATTCTTCACCAAGTTGAGGAAGTTCCCCTTTATTTCTAGTTTATGAAAAGTAGCTATCATTTTTGCAGCTGAATAAAGGGTGTTAAAGTGAGTTCGTGTTAAACTCTGTTAAAAGGCACAAATCTCATGGAAGTGTCTGCTGTGCTGTATAGCACAGTGCTTTCTGTTAGCGATCTCCAGTTTCAGATGAAGAAATAAACAACAACAAAAAAAGAGAGGCCACAGAGCTATCCTGGAGTTTGGAGAAGGATACACAAGGAGGCCTGGGTTTCCAGACCTTCTCTGAAGAGGCTCCTCTCCAGCTGCAGGTGGACTGTGGGGGCTCAGAGGAAGGCGTGCCTAAGTTAGGAAAGACCACAGAGCAGGGACAGCATGCGGCTTGGTGGGTCGTGCTCACCTGCTGTGGCTCGCTTAACTGTCTGTCATTCCTGATGGATTATCCTCTCTGTGTAAGCTCCTGTGATTCCTCTGGAGCCCATGCAGCCTGTGATACAGTAGATAGCTATTTATGAGTGAATGAACTGTATGACCTAATTCATGAGAAACATTTTTTGAATGCTTTCTATTTCTTTTCTTCTTTGAAACAGGACAGTGAGGAGATAGGAGAGGAAGACAGAGAACCTATTTCTGTCCCCTTATCTCCTCTGCCAGCCCTCCCCTGCATCCTGCTGCGGTTGTGTCTGGCCCGCCCCTGCCAGCACTGTGAGTGATGCAGAAGTTTGGGAATGTCTAGGTCTCAGCCTTACAGCGCAACTCTATTTCAACTCTTTCAATGTTCATTTATAGTCAATTACTATTTACAAAATATGCTCTGGAAGTTACTTTAAAAAAATTATCTAAGCACTGAAGATTTATATAAGAATGGAGAGCATTTCCACCCTCAGCCACCCTAACAGGGACTTGACTCCAAGAGGAAACCAGTTGTTCAGGGGCCAAGAGCTCCGGGGCCGGGAAATAGCAGGGAAATAACTCGTGGTGTCGCCCGGCGGCCGGCCAAGGTTTGAGGGAGGAAGGAGGGGGAGAGAGGCTCGAGCCGGGCACGGAGAGGCAGGGCCGTGAGACGGACACGCAGGGCACCTCCTGTTCCCAAGAGCCGGAGGCAGAGGTGATGCAGTGGCAGACAGCGAGGACGGCTCTAGTTCAGGAAGGAGTCCGAGCAGAGAACCGAGGGTGGAAGATTCTAGGGGCAGAGAGCCAACCGGATCCCCAGGGCTTAGAACCGGGCCTGCCATATCAGTAGGCACTCGATACATTTTCACGGAATAAATGAAACTGTCAGAAGGTAGGCGACAGAGAACCCGAAAAAGCAGATGGAAAGGGGAAGGCAGAAGATAGAAAATCTGGGTCAGAGACTTGGATGGGAAGCAATCTAGGTTGTCCAACGGCTCCTCATGGAGCGGGGTCAGCTTCCTGGGGCAGCTGGGGCAAGTAAGGGGACAGGGAAGGAGCAAGGACGGTGGTGGGAGTGTCCCATTAGCCCAGCTGAGTGAGGACGACTCCCTCTCCCTGGGAGGCCCCAGAGAGAAGGGAAGCGTCCCACTCCCACGCTGGCCCTCCCTCCTTTTTCCCTGCTGCCTGCCGGCCCTGATGGGCAAAGGATGGGCAGGCAGAAGGCAGGGGCTGGCTTTGGGGTCAGGGCTGGGCACAGGCTTCCAGGCCAGCTGCCTCAGGCAGCCTGTTGCAGTTGAAGGGCCATGGGGTGCCCAGGAGTGCCAGGCCAGACTGGCACTGGCGCTCTGCCTCCTGGCAGACAGAGCGGCAAGGGGGAAGGACACTGCCTAGTGGGGTGCAGCGGGGCACAAGCAGCCCACAAAGGAGCCTTCGGAAATTCTGGTAGCAGGGTAGACTGGTCAGGCTCTGTGGAAGGAAGAGATCAGCCCTCAGACACCATGCTCCCCAGGCTGCCTCTCCTTCCTGTGGCCTCCCTCCTTATGTCAGGCCGGCCCAGAGCACCTTGTAACCTTTGAGGACCTCTACCACCTCCTCCTGGGTGGCCATGCCCACCCAGATGTTAGGGAAGGCCGTGGTGTTGTAGCTCAGACCGATGCACATCTCCACCTGGACAGGCTCACAGGCCAGCTCTGCAAGGGTGGGAGGGGAGGTCACTGGCTGTGGGGCCCTGAGCAAGTCATTTAATCACCCTGGGTCCTCCTTTCTACGTGGATCAGGAGGGGATTGTTCTGAGGATCCAAGGAGAAAACAAGGAGGGATGCTTTACACACATCGAGGATCTGTTGTCCTCAGGGCCTGCTCTAAGCAGTATTTGCCAGCCCTGGGCAAAGGGAAGCGACCTCTCTGATCACAGGGAGTGTGGGGCACCTGCATCTGCAAGGACCACTTAGGCATCTGAAAGAAACTCCCCTGCTCCTTGTAAAATCTCACCTTCATCTCTGAGGCGGGCTGTGGAGAGGGCCTCTTTGGGACAAGTGGACTGGTTTGTGAAGCCCCAACCATCCACTCCCAGCTTCCTGTTCCCCTTGGGGTGATGCCATTGCCACCACCAGCTGAGTCCCTCCAGGTGTCTGTGAGGTGGCCCCGGAGTCAAGAGAGTGGGGCCCAGCTGGCCCTACTCCTGACCAGGGAGGACAGGATGGGATGTTATAAAGCGCCCCATGAATGTCTGTGAGGGGTCACCCAGCCTGCCCAGGCCTGCCAGGCTTCTCACCTGGGGGTGGGGACGAGGGTCTGCTGCAGTTGTCATCGCCGCCGCCTGCGCAGTCTCTCCACATGTCACACATCCACTGCAGACCCTTACACCCTCCATCCTGGCAGGAGAACTGTCTGGGCCCACAGGGGTCTGTGGGCACAGGGAGCATGGCAGTACCCTCGGATGTGCCTCTGTCCCCACTGTCCTTGCCGTGACCTGACCAGGGTCCAGAGGCCTTCTCTGTTCCCCCGGAGGCACTTCTGCTTCCCACACCCACTTGCCCAGGGGCACCTACTCTCTGTGGCATTGAAGGCCTGGTAGGTGGCTGAGAAGCCCCCACTGCTGATGCCATGGTCTGTCCTAAAGAGCACAACCAGCTCGTGGTGTGAGGAGATGAGGTCGGGGGGTGGCTCTGTTCCACAGAACCTGACCAAAGCAGAGAGCAGTCCTGGGCACGCGGCCTCGGGCTGACCGAGGGTGACTGAAGCCTCCCACCTGCCTCACTTGGAGCTGGGAGCTCTGCGCAATAGCACAGGTGAAGGGAGACATAGTCACAGACTTATGGCACTTAGAGTGTGGTGAGGAAGACACACATGTTCAGTGGACAAAATATTAAACGAACTGCTCAAACTGGAGCCATTTCAAGATGGGAAAATCAGGGAGGGTGGAAACGGTCTCCACAGGATGGGAAAGACTGTGGTAGGGAGAGGTTAGGCAAGGGGCCCTCTGGGGAGGGGGTAATTGCAGGAGTGAAGGTTTTTGAGGTGAGAAAGCACAAGCCTTTTTTAGGGTGACAGAAGAAAATGAAGCTGGGGAATACGGTGGACCAATGTGTAGGAGCCTCAGTTGTCAGGCAGCAGAGGATGGAGTCAGCCCTGGCTCCTCCCCTGGCTCCTGTACCTGCCCAGGAGGCTGAAGGCCCCTGAGCTTCTGGTCTCATACACCTCCACGTAGTCAAACTTGCACTCGTCCTGGGCTTCCAAGCTGAAGTTTTGGAACTGCAGTTCTACACCGTGTCCGGCAGGCACCAAGATATGCCAGGTGCAAAGCTGGGGGGTGGGGCACAGATGGAGTAACTCACGGTACCTTCTCCTGTGCCAACCTGGGCATCCAGGCTGAGCTCCAGAAGGGGCTTCTTCCTCCACTGCAGGCTAGGTGGCGAGTGGGGGGGCGCTGCCCACCTAGCTCCCATCATTGCTGGCTCTTAAGATAGCAAGGGCCTTTGACATCTCAGAGATGAATTTACCATGTGGGAACATCTGGGTACAGAGTAGGCACTTAATAATGTTCCCTTCCTGCCTGCTTTGATCTCTGACCTTCCCAAGTACAAGACAGTGTCTACCACGCTGTTCCTAGTCACACTGACCTGGAGCTCAGGTGTGGCCATCTGTGCCATGCCCCCACCCCCCATGGAGCACTGCACTTACCTGTTGGTGAGGGACCCGCTGTAGGTAGTTGGGAGTAGAGAAAGCGCCCTGGAGGCCAGTCAGGTTTCCCCCACAGTCTGCAGAGAGGCAGAAGGGCTCATAAGTTTGCCGGGATCTGGGGGCTGGCAGTTGACTATGACTGTGGCCATCTGTGCCATGCCCCCACCCCCCATGGAGCACTGCACTTACCTGTTGGTGAGGGACTCGCTGTAGGTAGTTGGGAGTAGAGAAAGCGCCCTGGAGGCCAGTCAGGTTTCCCCCACAGCCTGCAGAGAGGCAGAAGGGCTCATAAGTTTGCCGGGATCTGGGGGCTGGCAGTTGACTATGAGCAAGAGTTTTGGCCGTGCCTTTGGGGAAACAAATTCTGTGCTGGAAGAATGACCAGCAGGGCATGCTGGAGCAGGCCCTGGCAGCCCAGCCTGAACCTGGATCAGATGCCTGAAGAGAGTATGCCCTGCACCTGGCGGGCCGTACCCGAGAACTTGGCACTGCAGTTGGTCTCGTCACTGCCATCAGCACAGTTGGCAAAGCCGTCGCACACTGAGTCAGGTAACAGGCAGACGAGCTGGTCACAGGCGAACTCATCATGGGCACAGCTGCCTAGGGTTGGGTATCTGGAGTCAGAAACCCCCATTCTCGGGCCGGCCCGTGGCTCACTCGTTAGAGTGCGGTGCTGATAACACCAAGGCCGCGGGTTCGGATCCTATATAGGGATGGCCGGTTTGCTCACTGGCTGAGCGTGGTGCTGACAGCACCAAGCCAAGGGTTGAGATCCCCTTACCGGTCATCTTTTAAAAAAAAAAAAAAGAAACCCCCATTCTCCACCCCTTCTGCCAGTGCTGGGAGTGGCTGGAGGGGAGGGAAGGGGACACTTAGCAGGCAGCTGCGGACACAGCGGGAAGACACTCACCATGCCCAGGGGCCACAGCCTGGTACCAGGCATGGAAACCAAATCCTTCTACACTGCTGTCAGAGACGAAGGCCACCTGGAGGCGGCTGGCATTGGTGTTGAGCGTGGGGGGAGGCACCCTTCCACACACCCTGCAAGAAGCCAGGTTGGGGGTGACGGAGGCTCTGAGCTCAGGATCAGCCAGAGTGGAGCTTGCTTGAGTCCTGTGTTCTGTTTCCTCAGCCCCTGAACTGGTGACAATGTGGTCAAAAAACCTTTAATTTCCCAGGGAGCTCTGACCTTCTTGGCACCTGCACATCCATCCTTGCAGCATTTATTCATGGGAAAGATAGGAGCTCCATTTTACAGATTAGGAGACTGAGGTCAGAGAGGGACAGTGACCTTCCCCAGGTCACACAGCAAGGTGGTGACAGAGCTGAGCCCAGAGCCCAAGTCTCTCAACTTCCTCCCAGTCCAGTGTTTCCTGCTACAGCTCCCTGGTTCTGCCCTCCAGACAGTGGTTCAGGACAGGGGCGAGATCTCCTGGGGACAGACGGACCCACCTGAGGAGGGAGCCCTCAGGCTCAGGAGAGATTTCCAAGCGATCAAAAAGACAGGAGGCCACGCTCTCCATGCTGAGGGCTTCAATCTTGAGCTGTATTGCATGGTCTGTGGCCACCTGGATATGCCACACGCAGTGTGCATTGGGTGGGTAAGGGTCTGGGTAGTTTGGGCTGCTGAAGAAGCCCCTTGGACCAGGAAGGAGACCCCCACAGGCTGCAGAGATGGAGGTTAGAGTCCAGAGGTCAAAAGAAGAAAGATCCTTTTTTCCCTAATATTCCTCAATATTCCTCTTCCCAGACTCCCCACCACCCACATCTTGGACACTGCTCTAGGAATAGCTGCCCCAGTACTCACTGGACTGGGGTATGGGGCTCATGCCTGACTCCTGCTGCCCTTTAGGTGTCCCAGGAGCCAGAGAGGTGGTGGTGGTGGTGGTGGCGAAGCCTTGGGCAGGCAGTGGGATAGAGGTGGCCCCGGGTGGGGGTGCAGCCTGCAATTCTGGAGCAGGAAGATGGAGGATTGGCATTCAGAGGACCTGGGTCCCTGGTGCAGGAGAGTGCTCATGGAGTCTCACTCTAAAGCCCTTCTCCCAAGCAGGCCCCGAGTACCTACGGGCCAGGATGATGGCCACCAACAGCCCAAGCAGCAGGAGCAGCAGACTGGCCAGCAGGAGGACACAGAGCCAGGAGAAATGGCAGTCTGGCTGTAGCCCTCGGGGGTGCCGACCTGTGGGCAGACAGCTGGGATTTTGAGAGCCCTGACTCTTGGGCATCCCTCCTACTGTTCTTGGCTCCTGGGCCTCTCTGTACGACACTTAGGTCACCCCCTGGGGTGGTTACCGTGCCAGGGAGTTCGGGTGCTGCTGTTGGCATCCTCCTGGAGGGCTGGTGGGGGACACGGTGGCCCTGATTCAGGCTCAAAAGCAGGATTGCAGAACTCAGTCTGGAAGGGGGAAATTTGAGGGCTGAGGACCGCTGGGGACATTGTGGACAGTGGGACTTGGGAGAGTGGCTCTACGTGGCCCTTACCTTGCTCAACTCCGTTGCCTCCACGCAGAGAATAACATCTGAGTAGTCCTTCATGGCCTGAGGCTCTGCATGGCTTTCTGGAGTCTCCGTGATAGCTCAAGGCCCCCAAGGGCCCACTCCCTAACCACAAATCCCCTATCAAAGGGGCAGCCTCTACTCCCTGAGGGAAAAGTCTACCAGGCTAGACCGGCTCTCAGGCTGCCTTTGGCAGACTGATTGGGGCTACTGGCTATTCTCTGTGTGGGGGAAGGGACAGCAGCCTGAAGGAATTCGCAAAAGCACAAAATGGTCTCATAATCCAACTCAGCTGAGGATGCTGAGGTCAAGACCCTGGCACAGGGTGGCAGTTCTTAAAGGCACAGGCAGTGGCTGAGAACACCCAGCAGAGGCAACTAGGTGCTCTGCAGTGGATGTAACTGGGGAGCTTGCCAGCTCACGCAAGGTTCTGAGTGAGCACCTGGGGGTGCTGGGAGGGAGGGAGGACACGGGCTACTTTGGCATCAGGGAGCCTCAGGTGCCCTGAGAAAGAGAGAGAAGCTGGGTATAGGGGTTGGCAGCTTCGAGGCCTAGAAGTCCTAAGGGCTCTGGACAAAGCCAGCTGCCCACCACTCCTCTCTATCAGGGTGGTGGGGGCATTAGCCAAGCCTGAGTCTTTGGAAGGCCTCTGTTAGATCCCTGTGTGACCAGGACAGGAAGAGAAGCCATTATAGGAAGAAAATGGTGTGAACTGCAGAAGTTGGCTGCTTATCCCTGGGTCCCCTAAGCCTGTAGGAGAAAGGACAGAGAAGGAGGAGACAGTGCCCAAGGACTTGGACAGGGTTGGGGTGTGAAGTCCGGCTGTTGGTGCTGTCTGTCATTGCAGGGTAGGAAACCTACACTCTGTGAATGAGATTGCTTCCTGCCGCTTTCTCCATGAGTGAAGTTCTCTTGGAAGATCCCAACCTGACCCAGCTGTCCCCAGGGAGAAAGGAAAGGAATTGTAGTCTGTTTTGTGTTAGCCATGTCCAGGCTGAGTTGGGCAGGGCAGGCGGTGGGGAGGCAGTGTAATATTTCTGGCTACTATTTGTAGGATGGTATGTTTTAGGCTCTGGGCTTCTTAGTCTTCATGCAGTTTCTCTCCTTTCACAACTCCATGTGGTAGCATTACCATTTTACAGATGGTGGTGCTGAGGCTCTGGTAGGTGAAGTAACCTCCCGAAGCCACACAGCCAATAAGACACTGAGACGAGAGTTGAACCCAGGACTGGGTAAAACTTAAACATACATTTTGTATGACATACCTCTTTCACCCTAACTGGGACTGGGACACGATGGGAGTGCAGAGGGGACAGAGTGTCAGAGAGGAGCAAAGTGAGGAGCCCAATGAAGACAGAAGAACCAAAAGAGACGGATTCTGTGCTCTTGAGGCAGCTGTCCTTACACTCAGGGGACGAGATTCCCCCACCCCCAGGTTCTCCTTATTCATCCCCTGGTGGGCCTTGGGCTGCTTTTGTCCAGGTCTAAGCCTTTTCCTGGACCCTTGGATGTCAAGCAGCACTTGGTCCTTAGGGAAGGTACTTTTTAGTAGCTGTAGGGACAAGTGCTCTTAAAGAGGATGACAGTCCCTGGCCTCAAGGCAGGATTCTCTGCCTTAGTTGTGTGCTAAGAGCCTGGACAGGTGTGGAGGGGATGGGGACAGCTCCACAGAGGGAGTGGCCTTGTGCTGTGCTGAGCTGAGAGGATGGTGGGTGTAGAGAACCATGTCCCTTGGGTCGGCTGCACTCTGAAGCCACTGTGGTCATTCAGTGAGGGGGTGCCCGGTCTGGCCAGGTGCTGGGCTAATGGTGCCCTCGTCTCAAGTAGCCCCTAATCTAGTGCAGAGGTTCTCAAAGTGGAGCCCGGGGACATTTTTTAGGGGGCTTGAGAGGTCAGAACTATTTTCATAATAACACTAAGACAGGTGCTGGGCTAATGGTGCCCTCGTCTCAAGTAGCCCCTAATCTAGTGCAGAGGTTCTCAAAGTGGGGCCCGGGGACATTTTTTAGGGGGCTTGAGAGGTCAGAACTATTTTCATAATAACACTAAGACATTATGTACCTTTTTAATGCTCATTCATGAGCGTCCAGTGTAGTTTTCTAGATACTCCACGATGTACGATATGCGACAGGCTGGATGCAGGAGATGAAAGTCCAGCTGTCTTCGATTAAGCCAGGCGTTAAAGAGATTCATAAAAATGTAAAACAATGCTGCCCTTACTTTTTTTTGATTTGGAAAATACAGTTTTTTAAAAAAACACTTATATTAGCATCTAAAGAGTTTATTATTTTTAAATTTATTGTTTAAAAAGAAATAAGAAAATATTTACATTTCTTTCAGTTTTATTTTATTACTTTTTTTGGTGGCTGGCCAGTACAGAGATTCTTTCAGTTTTAATTTGTAAGTATTGATAGATATAATTCACATAAATGAAAGTTCTTTGGGGTTCTCCATAATTTTTAAGAATGTAAAGGGGTCCTTGAGAACTGTGGTTTAGCGGACAGACACAAAGACAGTTTACTGGGTTATAAGGCCAGAGACCACATGCTGTGTAAACTGAAGAAGCAATGACTACCTCTGATGGGGGCACCCGGGGGGACTTCCTGGAAGAAGTGGGCCTTAAGTCTAAAGTTTGAGCGTTGAAAAGGATTTTAATAGGCAGAACTTGGGGGCTGGGAAGGGAATTCCAGGAAGGGGAAGAGGCTTATCATGGAACGTGGGTTGCAACCTGTTTTGAGCAGGGAGTGGCTTGGTCAGAACAGGTCTTGTGAGGAGACAGCAGAAGGGAGGCAAAAGGGAGGCCTGGAGACCAGGAAGCTTCTCTCTGGCTTTGGTGTTGCCCATGGCCATCCTGGACTCTGCCCTTGGCTTTGCTGGCACAGGCACTCTTGCAATTGGCCTCTTTATGAAAGTGTTTTGGGAGAAAGGAGGTAAGCCATGCCATGAGGGACCAGGTCAGCGTAGGGGGTGGCCTAAATAGAACACAGTAAGGTTGAGGTGGAATGCAGACCCATCAACTCATCCTCTTGTTTGATCCTCTTACCAGCCCAGGAAAGTGAGGCCAGGGAGGTGTTTGGTTCCCATTTTCCAGATGTCACTGAGGTCCCTGGCAGTTAAGTGCCTTTGCCCAAAGTTGTACAGCTGGGGGCCGGCCCGTGGCTCACTCGGGAGAGTGTGGTGCTGATAACACCAAGGCCCGAGGTTCGGATCCCATATAGGGATGGCCGGTTCGCTCACTGGCTGAGCGTGGTGCTGACAACACCAAGCCAAGGGTTGAGATCCCCTTACCGGTCATCTTTTAGAAAAAAAAAAAAAAAAAGGGGGGGGGGGGGGGGGCCCGGCCCGTGGCTCACTCGGGAGAGTGTGGTGCTGATAACACCAAGGCCCGAGGTTCGGATCCCATATAGGGATGGCCGGTTCGCTCACTGGCTGAGCGTGGTGCTGACAACACCAAGCCAAGGGTTGAGATCCCCTTACCGGTCATCTTTTAGAAAAAAAAAAAAAAAAAGGGGGGGGGGGGGGGGGCCCGGCCCGTGGCTCACTCGGGAGAGTGTGGTGCTGATAACACCAAGGCCCGAGGTTCGGATCCCATATAGGGATGGCCGGTTCGCTCACTGGCTGAGCGTGGTGCTGACAACACCAAGCCAAGGGTTGAGATCCCCTTACCGGTCATCTTTTAGAAAAAAAAAAAAAAAAAGGGGGGGGGGGGGGGGGCCCGGCCCGTGGCTCACTCGGGAGAGTGTGGTGCTGATAACACCAAGGCCCGAGGTTCGGATCCCATATAGGGATGGCCGGTTCGCTCACTGGCTGAGCGTGGTGCTGACAACACCAAGCCAAGGGTTGAGATCCCCTTACCGGTCATCTTTTAGAAAAAAAAAAAAAAAAAGGGGGGGAAAGCCAGAACCCCAACCCCCCCAGCTCTGAAATCCAGCCCTGCTCTTTACCAGCTATACAACTTTGGTTTTTTTTTTTTTTTTTTTTTTTTTTAACATTTTCCATGTTTTCTGTAAACTTGTAGAGCAGGTTGGGGCAAGAGGATCTGTGAGCAAAGATACCAGTTAGAAGGCCTTTGCTGGAGCCCAGCGTGATGAGGACTGGACCTGGGGCCGAGAGGCTGGGAGGTCTCAGACCTGCAGTGGTTGAGTCCTGGGTTTCTTGCTTCTGTTTTGGCTTCCTCTTGGGCTTTGTCTTCCTTCTCGCAGGCCCTGGGGCCTTGGCCTTCTTGCCTTTTCCTTCTCATGGGGTCTCCCCCAACCCCCATGTGGACACCATCTTTCCTGCCCTTCCTTTCCTTGCTGCTGCAGAGATGTTTTCGTGGAATTTCCTGCTGATCGCTACGGGTAAGATCAACAAGCAAAGGGATGTTGCATGCCTACTGGGTTCCTGTGCTGGAGACCCCTAACCCCCTGGAAGCTCTAGTGGGCTTTTGCTTTTATCCGTGAAGGTGTGGATCCCTGTAGCTCCCCCATGCTGACTCCACCCGCAGCTTGCTCTCCTTGGCTCTCTGTGGCCTCCTGCCAGCAGGTAGGGCAAGGCCGGCTTGAGGTCAGCTGGATTCCAGCTCTCTAGCTTTCCCTCTACCTGTTCTCTGGTCAGAACTTCTACTCCAAGTGATACTGGCCTCTTTTTTGTCCCTGGAACATGCTGTGTTCACCCTGCCTCTCCATCTTCCTCCGGTCTGGAATATCCTTCCTTCTTGCTCCCTGCACCAGCATTATACATATGCATTAGGTGCCGCCCCTCCCCACTTTTTCCACCAGATCTCTCAAATGTACTTCTTCTTTCTCTCTTTACCCACTGCTACCCTTGGCCTTGACCCATCCCCAGTTCCTGGATTTTCTCTAGGAGCCTGGATGATAGCAGTGCAAAGCCAGCCAACTCACCACTGTCCCCAAGAGACAGATCACCCCAAATATCAGGATATCAGAAAAGCTCATCTGTTGGCTATGGAAGTCCGTTTAGTGACTCTACCTCACTAATTGTGTTTAATTTGGCAACTATACTTTGCATTTCTAAGCCTTTATCATGTTGTTTGGGAGAAAGGTGGCAGAAGAATCCAGAGAGTCCAGGGGAAGGAAGTAAACATTTGCTGAGGAGCATCCGCTATGAGAATCTCAGCGGAGCTTTGATAGCATAGTCCTCCAATGGGGGTGATGAATACTTGTTGGGTACCTACTATGTATCAGACACCGTTTTCTTTTAGCTGGTACAACTCTGAGTAGGTATTGTCATGCTCAGCTTACAGATGAGGAAACAGGCTCAGAGAGATTAATTTGCTTGAACTATAAGTGCTAGTCTCTCTGCTGCCTCCTGCATCCTGCACAGTGCTTGTTTCTGCCTGAGAAGCAATGAAGGATGAGACCCTCAAAGGTGCCCATTTCAGACAGACCAACTAGGGCCTATGAGGCCCTAATATGAGGCAGATCATGCTGGTTTTGCTGTTGGGCATCTGTGAATGTTACATTGCTGTTCAGCTCAGTTCCTAATAGATACAGAGTTGGAAAATTTGCTGCAGAAAGTTCTGCAAAGGCCGGCCCGTGGCTCACTCGGGAGAGTGCGGTGCTGATAACACCAAGGCCACGGGTTCGGATCCCATATAGGGATGGCCGGTTCGCTCACTGGCTGAGCGTGGTGCTGAAAACACCAAGTCAAGGGTAAAGATCCCCTTACCGGTCATCTTTAAAAAAAAAAAAAAAAAAAAAAAAAAGTCCTGCAAAATGCTGTCAATAATTTAACCAAAAGATGGAGTACTCAGATGGAAAGAGAACTGGGTGGTAGTCAAGGGTGGGTTCCATCCTGCCTCTGCCACAGACAGGCTACGTGGCCTTGAGCAAGCCTTCTCCAGTGCTCAGTGTCCTCACTGCCACAATAAGAGTGTGGACAAGTTGACCTCCATGGTCCCAACTGTAAAGGGTTAGAAAAAGAAATATGCAAACTGATCACTTAAAAAATTAACTCTATAAACTGGAACCAGAGGCATGAAAGTCCCCTGATTTGGGACTTGGGCATGTACTTAAAGGATAAGTGACTTAGAATGATAACACTTGAGGGGCCGGCCCGTGGCTCACTCGGGAGAGTGCGGTGCTGATAACACCAAGGCTCTGGGTTCGGATCCTATATAGGGATGGCCGGTTAGCTCACTGGCTGAGCGTGGTGCTGACAACACCAAGCCAAGGGTTGAGATCCCCTTACCGGTCATCTTTAAAAAAAAAAAAGAATGATAACACTTGAGCTAAGACCTTCAAGATTCACTAATTCAATCTACTTAATTCACAGATGAGGCAGTAAAGCCCAGAAAAAGGAAGGTTCCTGTTCAAGGTCACACAAGAGCAGTTACAGGGGTAGATGCCAGCAAAGAATGGGGGCAGAAATCCAAGTTGCTAGGATGCAAAGCTTGATGGACAAAGAGATGTGGGCACAGATCTGTTTGTTTGAGGTCTGTGTAGCCACTAGAACCTGTTGCCATGGGGATAAGAAAGCAGCACAGGCTAAGTATTGAAGAGAGAGCTGGGAGCAAGGGTGGAGGGCCTGTGCTGAGCTCCTGACCTCGATGTGACCTGTAGTCCATCTGCTTCCCAGTAGAAGACAACAAAAATGCACAGAGTGGCTTTTCTCTCTGGTGAAAACCAGTCAAAGGAGAGGTATAACGACGTACATTTATTTGGAGTTCCCAATCTACTTTGCTACAAGCCTGATGTTTCCATTTTGAAGGGGATACTGTTCACCTGGGTCTTGGGGAAATCATTAGAGTTTAAAATCTTATCCTGGGTTGGGCCATTCCCAGGGCAGGCCAGGGAAATCTGAGGTCCTCAGGGAGAAATACCAGAGTTTGAGTCACTGTTGTTTTCAATCCTTCTCCATTCTTGGGAAATGCCCAGAAAAATGTCCCCACTATTGCCTCCCTCTACGAGGTAGGTTTGACAGCAGCACACAGGACTCAGATGACAGTGTGTGTCCGTCTCAGCAAGGACGCAATAATTAGGTCTTAATTTTTCAGTGTCTGGAGCAGTGATGGCAGTTAGGAAGAATCCTGATGAAACATCCCAAGCTTAGCTGGTGGAGACTTTAGCTTCCCTAGCTCTCAACCAGTGGTAGAAATGGAAAAGCTCAACAGTACTGGGCCGGCCTGTGGCTCACTCGGGAGAGTGCGGTGCTGATAACACCAAGGCCACAGGTTCGGATCCCATATAGGGATGGCCGGTTTGCTCACTGGGTGAGCGTGGTGCTGACAACACCAAGTCAAGGGTTAAGATCCCCTTACCGGTCATCTTTAAAAAAAAAAAACAAAAAACAGTACTGAGAGAGAAAATCAAAGGTGACAATGTCCCTGAGTATACAAAAGAGGCAATCTCTTTACAGGACTAAATCTGAAGTTCTGAAAAAAGTACTTTAGAGAACAAAATCTTTAACATAAAGGTAGCTGTTTTTAAGTATTGGGAGGTTGGGGGGAGTTGAGATCTTTCCTTTATCAAGGACCAAGCTCTGATCATTCTACATCTAGGTAAAGCCACTCTGCTCAAAGAGCAAGTTTTGCTGTGTTCAACAGCTGCTAGAGACCTGTTTTAGCTTATCATAGGTCTGTACAGGCACTCAAGTATTCTAACAAAGAACCCAGAGTACCCATGCGACCTGTTAAAAAGGAGATACTAAGGCTGGCCGGTTAGTTCAGTTGTCAGAGCAGCCTTACAACACCAAGGTCACAGGTTTGGATCACTGTACTGGCCAGCCACAAAAAAAAAAAAAAAGAAAAAAGAAAAAAAAAGAAAAAATCCTGCAGCTTTTTGGGGCGGGGGGAAGCATATATGTATTTAAAGAAATGTGTATTAGAAATGCCAATTTTCCTAGGTGTCAAAACAGTGTTATGTCTTTATTCCTAGGAGATGTATGCTGAGGTATTTAGAAATGGTGACATGACACCTCATCCCTACATATTTTGGCCCAAAGTACATATAAACAAATGTGGCAAAAAGTCAACAATCAGTGAATCCAGATGAAGAATATTGTGTCCAAAATGTGTACTATTTCAGTTTTCTTACAGAATTGAAAAATTTAAAAAATGGGTAGTTAACTTTTTCTAGAACTTGAAATTTATAAACTGAAGTGAAATTCAGAGCCACTAAAATGCTATGTGTCCTTCCTGGGTTCAGATCCCTCTGAAATCAAGAGTCCATTACTTACCGACTTATTTCTCAAAGCTATTATTTATTCTGTACAAGGTTCCACTGTACATTAGACATTCTCCTACTCTTGCTTACACAGTAAACAAGTGTACACCAGCCCTTGAGCTCAGGTTCACAGGTCTTCTCTGGAGAAGGGTGTCAGGCCAGTTAAACTCAGGGTGTCTTTCTCGGATGCCTCCTCTTGTGAGCACTGGAAGGTCCAGGCTCCAAAGGGCATGAGCCAGGCCCAGCTGTGCAGGTGTGCAAAGGTGCGCAGAGCTCCATGCCTTAGTACTGAGCAGCTTTACTCTCTGAGACAGCATGGAGCTCTGTCCAACTACTTAGGGCAAAATCAAGCCCATGGGAAAGAATCATATGACTGAGGCAAGATGTCCCCAGACACCCAGGCTCCAGCTCCCAGGGCAGGGCTGAAGACCAATGGGCACCCCTGAGAAACTCGGTCCAAAGGGCCTGTGCCTATGAGGCTCTGAGAAGGGGGTGGGGGGAAAAGGGATGTTAAGAAGAGAATAAATAAAAGGTAAGAGAAGCTCTAGGGGTGAGGGGCTTGTGCTATCCTTCAAACAGCTGGGGAGTAGCCTGGGGATTAGAGAAAGTGGGCAGGAAGAACTTGATATACTATCTCCAGCTCCCAGGGCAGGGCTGAAGACCAATGGGCACCCCTGAGAAACTCGGTCCAAAGGGCCTGTGCCTATGAGGCTCTGAGAAGGGGATGGGGGGAAAAGGGATGTTAAGAAGAGAATAAATAAAAGGTAAGAGAAGCTCTAGGGGTGAGGGGCTTGTGCTATCCTTCAAACAGCTGGGGAGTAGCCTGGGGATTAGAGAAAGTGGGCAGGAAGAACTTGATATACTATCATAAGAAATCTCCTTTTACCTACTTTCCTCTTCTCACTGCAATGCACAGCATGCCAAGGGCTAAGGGCAGGACCCCTATTTCCCCCAGCAGATTTGAACATGGCACTGGAGAAAAGGGAAGAGGCTGATGGACATTTCAGGGAGGGGCAGTTACCCCTTGGTCCCCAAATGCTATAAGGCACAATTCTTGGAGGCAACTAGATTCCATCCAAAACATTTAAAAAAAAAAAAAAACAAACTCAAAAAACAAAACTTGTTTAGATCCCAGATCTAGTGTGACTGTGACTGTGCTTGGGGCCTGGCCAACACCCACCTAGCACCACAAGGGGTTAGCTTTAGAAAAGATGTACTTGAAAAATTAAAAAAAAAAAAGAAAAAAAGGACCAGTACAATGTCCCAGCTGTGATGAGGTGTGAAGGAGAGCATCTCCAGTCTGAAAAGGTGGGTTTTTAAAAACCAAAACCAGCTTTTTTCAAAGATGTCCCCTCATCTGTCCCCCTGGAGTTAGCAGCTTTAAGAGGGCTCTTGGCTCATGTGTGTTTTCGTGCTCTGGACCGGTGAGCAGGTCCTGGTGGAGATGGGACGCCAGGCTCCTCAGCGGCGTGGCGTTTCCAGGCAGCGATGCTCCCAGCAGGCTCCAGAGGGCGCCGTCTTCCCAGAAGGCGTGAGGGCTGGAAAGGGCAGCTGGTGGATGAGGATCTTCTCCCCACATACCACTGTTGTTTATTACACGCAGGAAAAAACAAGCTTAAAAATGCAAACAAGAGAAGCCGAGGGAGCACTGTGCTGACACTGGTCTCCATGTCCAGTCAATCTTCCTCGCTAGATCACGGCTCAGGAGCACCTGGCTCCCCACTCCAGACCCTGACCAGGCTAAATCCACTTCTGCTCGGCAGTGTTTAGTTTATTTTTCTCCTATTTGTCAGGTTTTCGTTTGTTTTTGTTTTTTTTTTAAAACTTAGGGTGTGGGGCCACCACATGGAAAGGAGAAGGGTTATAGTTCCTCACTGCTACATACGAGAAGGTGGACTGGCCAATTCGTAGAAGAGCAAATAGGCGTCGCTGGTGCGCACTTGGCTGGAGGACATGGGTGTGACGCTGTGGAGAGAGCAGGATAAAGTCAGAGCCCTGGTGAGGGAGGCCTTCAGGGACACAGAGCTGAGTGGCTAAGTCTCTAACCTCTCTTCTATCCACCAAAGCCAACCTCTTGTCTCTTAGAGAGCCTTTGAATGGGCAGTAGACTCTTGGGTGTCACACAGCTTTTTGGCTCTGACCTTTTCTGTCCTTTCAAGGTGGAAGCCATGCAGACGAGTGAGGTGCAGGTGTCTGACAGCCAGGAGCCCTGTCCAAGACCTCTCTCTCACCTGGAGTCATTGAAAGTGTGCCATTCGCCTGTCACTGGACTTCGGCAGTAGGCTGTATAATGGCCGCCCATGGTGGTTCCGGAGTGATTGGACACAGCATATAGGTTGTAAACAGCGTGGTCTGAGGAGGAAATAGAAGGAGTCAAGCCCCCGAGGTGTTCCTTGCCCCCATGTTCCCTCCTTCCTGCCTCTCTATTCCCAATCTTTTCATAACTCACTCCAGCAGCTTCCCTCCACCTCTTTGCCTCCCAACTGTATCTCAGACGCTTGTGCCTTGATGCTTCCCTTCCTGCTGCGAGATACTCACTGGTGTTTTCTGAGGCAAATTCTCTCAAGTCCAGGTCTCTTAGTGGGAAATTCACAAATGTTGTGAGCTTGCTGGTTCGTATCCTGGATTCTGAGAACCGCTTCAGATCTGGCATTGATGTGAGTCAAGGACACACAATGTAGCAAGAATAGAATCAAACTGAGTTCTAAACAGGCACGTGTACTTTTCTCAGGAAGCAGAAAAGCAAACAACAAAAGGAAAGTCCACAAGTTTCGTTTTCCTACTCTGTTCCCCTCACTCTTTGGCCCCTTGTCATCAGTCACCTCAAAGGTCATGTCCCTGCCCTAATGGATCTTAAGGATACGGAGCACCAAGATCTTTGGGAACCTCTGGATGGAGAACTTCTTTATACATCGTTTTCTGGCTCGGCAGCGACAGCATGTCTGGAAGACATGACAAACAGAGCTAGAAGAACTTGGAAATGTCAACAGGCCCGAATCCAGTAACTGTTCGGATGGATCTGCTGGGACCAGAATCTTCCCCAGACGGGTCTCATGGAAATTTGTTCTTGCTGTTACTAAAGGGTGACTTACTGGCTTTTCATCGCCATCGAGCACATCCTCTTTGGTGAAGAGCCGCATGCAGTCCATTAATGTCACCTCAGGATAACCTCGCTGGGAGAGGAAAACAGTAAACATCAGAAGTCAACAACACGAAAGGATAGGAGTGGAGTTCCAAAGGTGGGACAACAGGAGTGCATACCTTAGCAATGGGCAGTGAGAGGTCCCAGAAGGGATCAAAGACTGTAGAACAGTAACCACAATCAGTACACGTCAGGGAGCTTTTTAGCTGCCCAACAAAGAGATCTGAAGAAGAGAAGGCCATGAGTTGCTGAAATACAGGGAGGTGAGCACATGGTCTTTTCTCAGTGCTCTTGTCTTAGTTTGTTGGACCCTGAGCAGAAACCGAGCTTCCTGGGAGGATGATTCTTAGAGCTTTTCATGCTGTGCTCAGGCAAGAACAGAAAAGTAGGCATTCACCCCATCCATGCACTTACCCCCAATCCTACTGTCTTCCCGTTCTAGGTATTTTCTCCACATCTGTCGTCCTTTCTCATCATCACTGGGAACCAGAGAGAGGAAGACAATTGGGTCAAAGGTCAAACCATGATAAGTTTAAGGGTCTATCTTTTTTTTTTTTTTTTTTTTAAAAGATGACCGGTAAGGTGATCTTTACCCTTGACTTGGTGTTGTCTGCACCACGCTCACCCAGTGAGCTGACCGGCCATCCCTATATGGGATCCGAACCCGGGGCCTTGGTGTTATCAGCACCGCACTCTCCCGAGTGAGCCACGAGCCGGCCCTAAGGGTCTATCTCAATCAAGATACTAAATCTTCAAAAGTAAATCTGATTCTCCCCAAATCATTACCCCCAAAGATATAGGTAAAAAAATCAAGCTCACAAAAGTCTTGCTTCCCCACAGCTTTCTCCTCTTACTTACGGAAGATGATCAAGGTTCTCAGGGTTGGACTTAGGCCTCACTGTTACTCGGTTCACCTCGTTATGGAGCCCGTCCAGAAGAAAGCGAAGGAACTCCTGAGCATCCTGCTGACTGAACCCCACAAAGAGAGAGTGAGCAATAACTTTTGTCCCCAATATCTGCTTTTTTTTTTTTTTTAAAAAAAAGATGACCGGATAGGGGATCCTAACCCTTGGCTTGGTGTTGTCAGCACCACACTCAGCCAGTTAGCCAACCGGCCATCCCTACATAGGATCCGAACCTGTAGCCTCGGTGTTATCAGCACCGTACTCTCCCAAGTAGAGCCATGGGCCGCCCCTCCCAATATCTGCTCTTGCCACCACCCACCTTGGGGTGGACATGTCTGCAAGGCCCTTACTTATAGCCAACGAAGCGCGGTGCATATCTCTGGATCTGGGTCTTGAACTCAGATGGGCTCACCACGTCATTGGGGGATGAAGTCCATATGGTCTGAATTAGTTTTGCAAATTCTATTGTAGAGGAGAGGGCAGAGAGGGAGCGTGGAGGACAGGTGAGATATTTTCCATAGGAAACTCTGAGACTAGAATACCAACAAAAAGTAGGCAAAGAAAGAAAAACAGGAGAGGTACATCTAAAACACAGGTACTAGCACAGCCTGGGTAGAGTGGACAAGCGTCAAGAGCAGAAGTGGGCCCTCGCCCCCGGAGGGCCATTCACCTTCCATGAGGGCTGTGTGTGCATTGCTGCTGTGGCTGAGGTCCCGCATATAGAGCCTCTGGAGGCAATAATCTTTCAACTCCCGGGTGTTGCTCAGGCACTGCAGAATCGAGTTCATGAAGCACTGCAAGAGACGGTCCAGACAATCACTGGGGGAGACCAGAACTCCATCTGGTATCTCCATTACTTAGTACCAAAGTAATCTACCCAGAAATTAATCCTCTCAAAGGCCTCAAGTTCCTTTTTTCACAAGTGAAAGCGGTGAAGTGAGGCAAATCACCCCATGGGCACAGGTGATGTCAGTGGCTATTCACTACAGAGGTATGCAAAATGGAGGGGGTGTGATGAACAGAATTGGGTGGGAAGTGATGGATGTCCTGGAGGAGAAGGATCCAGGAAAGTAGCAAGCTGACAGTTAGAAGGGCAACTCCCCTTTGGCAGTGCTTTCTGCTGTGGGCGGATGAGGCAGAGCCTGGCAATTCTGTGAAACACCAGCCAGGAAATGCAGGTACCGACTAGCCTAGAGGGTAGGGAGAGGGCTGAAGCCAGAGGGGACTCTGGTTAGGTTGTCCCAGTCAGGATAGGAGGGTGTGGCCCCAGGAAAGAAATTGGGCTGGGAAGAACTCACCGTGTTCCCAAGGTTTCGCAGACCAGCCAGACCCTGGGCGCTCTTAGAATTCTGTAAAGCAAAGAACACGTGGCAAATAAGGCTGAGGCAAAGAGGCTGGGCCTGTGCTCAGCTCTCTCATGCAACTTGCTGCTACTTGGAGCCATAGGCAGCAGGCCACATGTGTTACTCTCTTTTCCATCTCAGTCTATGTACCTTGCAAGAAGGAGGATTGAGGAATCCTGTTATTTTCAACACACAACAAAAATATTCTTGAAGGTTTTGCTTCCATTTACTGACTATTTCCCTAAGTCTTTACGTTATTCCTCATTCTCTGCTAACAGTGGAGACTGGAGATTAGAGCTAGAGACTAGGAATTCATATATGTGAGTACATATGTGCCTCCTGACTACAGAAATTTCAAGTCTCAAATCCAGGCGCTATCTCAGATGACCTATATTTGTACTCCTGGAAGTCTAATATATAAAAGTAGCTGTCATAATAGGCACTTCAAGGAGGTTTTGAAAAGTTAAATGACAAAACACCCTGAGTTTCGATTTTCAGCTGGGAAAAACTCAAGTCGGCCTACTGTTCTAAATTGCCAGAGACAGGTGGCATTCCTTCCAGCTGAGCTCAGCTCCTAAGGGCTGATTAAAGGCTGGTAGAATCCTCCCTTTCTGGCTCGGATTTCAACACCCTGACTGGCCACTGGCTGGGAACCCTTGTGATGGCAGATTGCAACCAAGTAGAGGCTGAAGGTGCCACTTTTGCTCTTGTCCCTATTGTGGAGGCTGGTGAGGGGGTTGGAGAGAGAACAGGTGCTAGGTTGAGGACTCAGAGCACTGTTTGTCAAGGTCTGTTGGCTGATCCTGGGCATACCTCCAAGGAGTCAGAAAACCTTCTGCTCAAAGGGTTAAAGAAACAGTTTGCAGATGAGTCTGCCACCCCCTCTCTCAGGGAGGGGACTGGGGAGCAGGCAACTCCCGAGCAGCACTGGCTGGGGCATGCGTGGGGCCAGCTCAACCCTGATCAGAACAGGAGCCTGAAATAACTCAGCTAAAATTACTCATGCCCTGTGCTGACAGCCTATGAGGCTGTCAGCAGCTCAAAGCCTGTGAGGCTCTCAGCTGGGGGGTGGGGGGAGTGGGTGAGGAGAGGAGCAGGCTGTAGGAGGGCTTTTCTCAGGAACTGACTTGCTGATCCCACCAAGTAAGAGCATCCCTCCCCTGGCCGTTGTCAGGTATATTCACTAACAGATAGGGAAGAAAACATACCCAGAAAAGAGACCTGGTTTAAACCTAGAGAGAAAAGCCTAGTAGCAGCAGGTGGGCACAAGCATCCTTGAAGAACTCTGCTTGGCTAGCAGTATACGACCCCAACCAAAATCTGAATCTTACCTTACTGACAGTCTAAACCCTGATGTTCCAGCAAGAGGGATAATACCCTGGGACCTTACCAGCATTTTGGGCAGAACTGGTGAAGGACTCTCTCAGGACTCAACAATAATGCTGCAGAAATCTCCATTTTGCCCATTCAGAACCAAACGTTAAAGTTTGCCCACAACAGAATACCTATGGTTACACCTATTTTTGGCAGCACTTTATTAGTTCTTAACCCCTGTGCCTCAGATGACATCTGTCTAAACAGGCTGTAGAAGCACAGCATTCTTCCACTGGTGACCATGTCAATGTCCACCAGAGCAGGCCCTCAGCTGAGACAACAGGCACTCAGCATGAGCGGGGGTGGGGAAATGGGGAACTGGAGGCACTGTCTACAGAGGCACTCCTGTGGTGCTTTAGGGATGCTGACACTTTTCACTGTGACCCAGCAGAGTGAGGGTCAAGAAGAACATTTCATCACCCATGGTTACTATGCTGGAGGATCTAATCCTTCTATTAGCCTGGAAGGCATCCACTAGGACCCTCTGGATTTTTTTTTTTTTTTTCTGTTTTTTCTTTAGGGTGGCAGTTGTGCCTTTGTGTAAAATTTCCTGAGCCAATTTCTCAGCGCTCTGTGTAGAAGGTGGGTGAATAACAGGAGTTGGGGAGTGGGGTGGAGGGGTGAGCAGGGCTGCTTTATGCCCAGCCAGATATTCTTCTGCCATGAATAGGAAATCAGGAGCTCCAGGGAAGTCAGCACTTTCCATTCTAGAGAGGAACAAAACGTCCCAGGAGTGACCTTTCTTACAGGGCAAACAATCCTACCTCAGGGCTGACAGGGGGACAAAGAGGCTAGAACTGGAGAAGGTGAGAGAGAGACTGCACAGGCAGCCTCTCACAGTGAAAGAAGGCGAGAGAAGGAAATGACTCCAGCTGTTATGCTGGGACTCCCGTGCAAAGAGCTGAGAAAGTGCACCCAGAGCTTCCTTACACTCAGTCATCCGCAAAGCTAGTGTTGGATCCGTAGCAAGCACTATTCCACCTCCACAATCAATAAACAGACAGTATTCACCTTCCAGGGGAGGAGTGGGGACTCAGAGGAGCCCTCCCTCGGTTAATATGGAGGAGCATCTAGAAACTGGCCTTCGTCGGAAAGGCTGATAAAGGCTTGTGACTTCACACAAGCCCCAGTCAAGGGCTTTCCTGCTTACTTCCCCTGTTCCATGAGGGTCAGCCATGAGTCCTGGCTGCAGCCAAGGAGCCTGGTGTGGCCCTGGCACGGGGCAGGGCACGCACTGCCAACACGGGAGCTGGTGCTTGTTACATAAGACCTGTCAAGTTCAGGTCCCTTCTCCCTTCCCCAAGGGGGCAGCGCCCAGCCTTAGCCCCAGCATTGCTCTGGGGCGGCTGCTCCAATCGAGGGAGCCACTGTCCACTTCGTAGAACTGGAAAGGGGCGGGGAGAGGGAAGTTGCCCTTTCTCCTGTCCGCGACTCCTCTGCCCTTCACAGGGTCAAATGACCAGTCACCAACCCTCCCTTGGGAGAGAGTCCTTTGGGGACAGTGAGGGTAGAGGCGGCTCCTTTCTGACCAGCCTTCCTTGCTGGCGTTTGGCTTTGAAGGAGTCACCCCGCAGAGTCCAGCGTGCTGAGACCTAGTCAAGGTTACGCTTCCCCGCACCTGTCCTGATAGGAGCCAGGAATTAAGAAGTCGACAGCCACCTGATGCCGGGTCACGGAGGGGGAAGGAGACTCACGGGCTGGGACCTCAACCAGGGGAGGGGGCCGCGAGTAAGCGTGCGATCACCTGGGGCGGGGGCATTCCTTGCCGGGAGACCCTGGGAAAGGAGGGGTGGGGGCTGGGAAGAATCCGTCCCCGCGCCGAGGGGCGCGTGGCGGGTGGGGGGAGTGCGGGAGGCGGCGAAACTCCAGGCCCGCGGCGTCGGGGTCCGGGAAAAGGGCCCGCGTACCTTGGCTTTGTTGAGCAGCAGCCCCACGAAGGCGGAGAGCAGCAGGGACGGGGAGAGAGGGGAGCGCGGCCGCAGCTCCTTCGCGAGGGCGTGGAAGGGGGCGGCGGGGGGCTCCTCGGGCAGGGTCACGGTGTACGAAGTGCGCATGCTGGGGGCGTGCGGCGGGGTCGGCCCCACGCCTAACGTTGCAACCCGGGTGCGGGGGAGTCCCCGCGCGCTGCCACAGCTCGGACAGCTGCCGGGGATGGCGAGGCCGCCACAGAACGCTGTCCGCGGCGCCCGGCGGTAACCGTTCCGGCGGGGCCCGAACGCGCGCCGCTCCGCCTCAACC